TTAAACCAAGCACCTTCCCAGGCTCCACTGCCTCACAGAGCAAAAAGTGTTACTGCGGCAATCCAAATCCTTGGCATCCTCATCTCTTGCGGGCTGTGTGCTCCTGTTTCTCTCCCTGTTCACTGGAATCCTACAGCATAGAGTTTGTAAATCTTTACACAGGACACCAAGGTGGCCAGTGCTGTTGTGCTGTGCAGTCTCTTTCTGTGCAAATTGTCCTTCTGGACCAGCATCACCGGGGCGGAGGAGGTGTGTGTGTGCAGAGGCAGTCGAGACAGTTTCTAGGCATCATACTCTACCTGGTGCTTGCAGCAAAGTTCAAACTGCCAGGAGCTCCCACAGGGAGTGTACCAGGCCAAGCTCAGCCCGCCAGCAGGTAAGGAGACATACTGGGGATAACCTAGGGGCAGTGCCAATGGGGTGAAGGGGCAGGCGGTGCCAGCCAGCACAGGTGTCTTGTGCAGGCAGTTACCCATGGCAACCAGCGTTCTGTCTCGTCGTCATTTCAGGTAGACTCAATGACAATGTACTTGTACTGGGCTTCCGGGATCTGTTCCAGCTCATAGTCAAACCGGTCCTGGGCATTGTAGATCTCAGGTACAACAGTCTGCCAAGGTTACTCCCTTGGGTGCTGCTGCCCACTGCTGCCTGGGCCCAGATGCTTTCTTGCCCATGTGGACAGTGTCAGTGCTGTGGGGCCACGAGGGCGGATCTCCACCTCCATTTCTCTGCCTGAGCCTGGCACATTGTCCCTTTGCTGGGACCCTCTTTGCTTTGTGTCTCTACTTTTCCCCCTATGAATACTCTGACCAATCGGTGACAAATTTGTGTGATGCCTACTGCATGTGGACTAGAAAACTGTTCTCCAAAGAACATCTGCTGAATTCCCTTAATAGACTGTAAGTGACCCCACTGACTGCTATATTTCTGTATCAGGATTGGGGCTCAGCTCTGATAACTCCCTGTCTACCCCCAGGGATGTGGGTGGCAGTGGATATCCACATGCCATCCATGGCCATATCCCTTGGTTCTGCATCCCTGACCCTCAGCCCCAGGGCAGCCTGCACCCCTCCCTCTGCAGACAGCCTCCTGGCTGACTTCATTCCCTGTCACATTCCTGGCTGTGAAAGGGACCTCTTCCAGGGCCCTGGGGAGATGACATGAGTTTATTTGTTTTTCTCCTGTCTCCACTTCAAGGGCTGCACTGGCAAAAACAACACCCTGATGACTTCCAGCTCTTCCCCCTCCTTTGCACTGAACATGAAAAGAGTCTCTGACGTGTCACTTGAGGGAAGAGGAACAGAGGGACAGTTTTTAGTTTGGCCACCTGCTCACACTGTTCTTCTATGGGAATAGTTACTGAAAATTGGCACTACCAAAGCTCCTTCTGTGTGCCCTCAGAAGGCCTCAAGAAGCCTCAGAAGCCTCTCGGAAGGCAGGAAGACTTACATTCAGTATAAGGGTCTGGGGAAGCAAACTTCCGACTAAAGGATTGGATCTAGTGGGCAAATGTTAAAACACATTGAGCATCAGAAAGCTTCCTTAACATCTCTCACACTACACAGGATGAAAACACCCTCCATGGAGAGAGGAAGTGTGTTAAACTTTTAAAAACAAGATTATAAGAGATTCTCTTGCTGACAGAACCCACGAGAATGGTACATGGAACACAAGAGATGTCCACTTTTCAGGATTTGAATAACACTGTGTTGAGAACCCAGTGAGACGGGGTGCGTGTCTGGAGGTACTGCAAAAACTGCACAATACACCCCACATGCTAGTTATTGATGGGACTGCCATTTTGGGCCTTGGCCCTACTGTTGAGAATGGCCTATGCTCTTCCAGGGTAAGAAGTTAGACTGACCTCAATCGCAGAACATTCTACTCCCAGAATCCTCTGTGCATACACTTTAGACAAGCCTAGCAGCCAGAGAAATGGCAGCAAAATTTCTGAAAGCAAGAATATCTCTAAGAAACAATGAATACCAGAAAAGCTGTAGGGTTATTTAGGAAGTCTCAAAGTGCAAAACCAGAGAGAACAACAATCAAGTCTGTCTCCCATGGATTTTTAGAAAGGAAAAAAAGAGAAAAGGATGAGCCTTTAGGCTCAAGGTCCCAAAATAGAAGTTAATACAGGAAAAGAACAACGATGGACAGTGGAAGAGGAGAGATTTAAGTTTTTTCAGAACCTTAAACCCAGACTTGTGTTCTTACTGCCCAGGGACCAGGCACTTGCCTGGAAGAGATACTGTTGTGTAAGGCTCCCTTGAGGCTATGGAGGAGAAAAAATGTCATCTTGAGTTTCCTATGCTCTGCTTTGTGTCTACTGTGTGGACAGGACTCTGGCTGATTCATTCCTACAAGGTCAGACCCGTGGCCCCTCCCCTGTACATTTTTTGCCTTATGAGAAAGCAGGCACTATTTGCTGGTGAATGTATGTATCCTTGTTAATTACAGTTCTTACCCTATGTAAGCCTGTGTACCATAGCTCCTCACCCTTGGAAATCCACTGGTCAGCCTAAAGGAGACAGAAACAGGAGTGTGAGGTTATCCACTGGAACATACAAAAGTGTTGCTGTAAGATTCTCCTGGACACACCATGAGGACCAGCCAGGGCTACCCATCACAGCCTTCTCAGGATTGGAGAGGGCAATGGGGAACAAGGATTGGCAGAAAAGTGAAAAGAGAAATCATGCAGGCAGGTTGGCAGGAATGAGCAGCCCTGCATGTCTATGCACTGAGAGCAGGTGCTATCACAGGCCACGAGCAACAGTATCCTAGTGGCGAAGGACAGGAGAGGTACCCTGCCTGCACTGAATTACCCTTTCTGGCATCATACTCTTTCTTGGCCCCTGTTTTCTGAGCATGTTTCATATAGGCCAACTGTATTCCTCTTTATCCAGAATATAATCAGTGTCATCTATGTTCTAGCATCTTCTGTGCTTTTAGCACCATCTGTATTCTGGGTACTATGCTGGGTGCCCAGGGTGCAAACATGAATATGACCCAGCTTGGTCTTCAGCGAACTTATAGCCTGATGTAATGCTGTTCAATAAAATATTCTGTGATGATAGAAATATTCTCTCTGTGCGGATTAATATGGAAATTACATGTGGCTATTGAGCATCTGCAATGTCTAGGACAGTTGAGGCACTGATTTTTAAATCTTATTAACTTTTAATTAATTCAAATTTAAATGCCACAGATGGCTAGTGGGAGCTAGCACAAGCCTAGTGAGAAAGAGAGAAAGATCATCAGATCATTCCATGACCAGAATAGCACAGGGATGCCTCTGTGGCCTACTCAAGAAAACAGAGGAGAAGGAGTGACTGGATCTTCCTGGAAATTCGAAATCTCCCCAAAGAAGGAGACTTCTGAGCTAAGTCTGGGATGATGAGCAAGATGTGCTTGATTATAGGGAAGGAGTGTTTATGCGTAAAAGGTTCACACTAGCAATTCCTGCAAGTTTTGTAGACTTCCCGGCTGAGATGTCCCATAGGTTAACCAGAAGAGCTGGGTTTGAGCAAGGACAGGCAGATGTGCTCTGCCCTCTCGCCTGGCTGTCTGCCTTCCTTAGTCCTCAAGAGTTAGGTGATGACAGATGGACTCATGACTGCCCCAAGACGGAAGGATCCAAGGAGCTGAACTGACCCTGGGAATGATGACTGCATCCAGGGGAGAGGGTGCGGGGTGTCTGGAGACCATATGGAAAGCTGGGAAGCATTTAGGGGAAGAGGACTGACATAGGGGGAAGAGGTTACTGGGGGCCAGTTTCTCAGTGGAGGCCAACAGTGGTGGCTTCCGGGGGTTGATCTTATCTTCCTATCCAAATGGAGAAATGAGGGAGGGATACTTGAAGCTCAATGGTGAGCTGGAGGACATCTATTGTGGGGACTGCAAGAAATATGTGATGGAATCTTTCAAGGCCCTTCTGTGCTCTGGAGTCCTTGGTGATTGTCTGGGAGGACTCCCATCACACCCATCAGACTGGAGTTCCTCAGAGGTGAAGCCCAGCTTGTTGCTCTGGTGGGCTTGGAAAAGACAGATACTTATTTTCTGCATGTCTTCAATGGAAGTCATATTTACCCTTTCAAGAGTCACCCTTATACCAATCTTTCCCATCTCAAAATGGCATCACCGTCCAACAAATTCTCCATCCAAAAATCTGGGAACAATTGTGAATTCTCTTCTTTTCCTTATTTCTTGAAATATCTTCATCGTTAGCATATTTCACTGATTCTCTTTCAAAAATACATCTTAGTTTATTTACTTTTCTCCATTTCTGACACTGTTCTGGTCCAAACTTCCATAATTTATCATCTGGGAATTTGTCTTCAAGTTTCTATTTTACATACAGAAGATAAAACTTTTTTAAAGAAAGGCTATTATTTATTTGCATGCCCGAAACGTTTTCAATGGCTTCACATTTTTCTTGGAATAAAATTCATGCTCCCTTCTTTCACAAGGCCAAAGAGGATGTGCATGATTTTGTCCTGATACATCTTTGAAGACATTTTGCATGAGTTGCTCTCATGACACAGTGCACCACACTGTATTCAATTTCTCAAATAAGGCAGTGCCTTCCTACTGCTAAGACTTTACTCATGGAATAGTCTTTCTCACTCTTACTGAGATGACTTATCACCTTTCTTCCTGTCCCATAGCACTGTTACTTTCCTCTCATAGCAGAATTTGAAATATTAAAAAAACTACTTGTTTTTTATTATTTATGCATATTTATAAGTTTCATTCTGGCAAATTTATATACACAGAGAACATATGTAGATCATTTTCACACACAATCCAAAAAACTTCTGCTATTTCTTGTGGACTGTTTCACTAGATTCTAGACTCTGTGAAAGCAGGGGCTAGGTCTACTGTGCTGACTGTTTTTCTTTCCTCTGAGTGTCTCTTCTCTCTGTCATAATCCTGTCTATTTTACCACCCTGACTATCCGAATAGAGGTCATGTAAAAGGAGATGTTGACAGATTGGACTAACCTGGATAACGTGCTGCCATCAGTGCATTTTGTCCTGGACAAGCACAGGCCTAAGAAAGTGTCAATTGCAGTGTCCTGAATCTTGACTCATATTTGTCCTCCACCGATGCCTAGGAAGTTTCTTTTCTCCTGTAACTAAGAGTACTTATCTCCTGGTAGGAGACCAGATAATCGGGACGGAGTTCTAATTGACCTTTTCTGTGAACATAAAGGAGAAAAACAGCAAGTTATATTCCTTTGGTAATGTGCAAATATGCTAGCATTTTGCAGGAAAAGTAAACACAGCTGAGATCCAGTTGTTTACCTGATCATATACTATAAATAATAGGAGCAGATGGATGCTATTCCAATTGCCCGTTCCCCTGGCTAAGTGAATAAAAGTGAGGAAAGCCAAAATACTCAGGATTCTCTGTCTAAAGGAGACAAGAGCCCTCTGGCCTTTCTTTTAAAATTATCTCTGTGTCTTTTTGTTTTTCATTCATTTGTCCCTGGTTAGGGGCAAACTCATAGATTGATTCCTACGTTATCTGAAATAGAAAAATGCCACAACTAAATCATCTATTGCCTTTTATAAGAAAAAATACTCTTTTTATCTTCTACCTTCATCCATAAAAGAATTCATAGAAAAGGAGAAGCTGTCTAATGTTGAGAAAAAATTTCAATTAGCTTAATGTAAAATGGTATTTCTGACTATCAAATTTTATCCAAATCACTGTATCCAAAATGGTAGTCAGAGAATACTTTTGTTAGTTTTTCAAATTAGCTCTAAATATCCTAAACAATGCAGTAAGAAAAAAGCATGTGTAGTGTGTGAAAAATGAAGAGGCAGGAGTACCATTGTTTTCCAGTGATTCAGTTTTCTTCATATTGAATACCTATTGCCTCTCGATATCAGTTTCCTGTTATTCCTGAAATAGCTCACAAATTTCACTTAACAGTCATTGCTTCATGTGCTCCTTCACCTATGATCTTCATGGAGCTCCTCCTTCAGAAAAAAATCATTCCATGGCTCTGGGTTATCTGATGATGGCCATGTGATCAACTACCTGGAGCCTGAGAATGAATTTTATGTATCAAAAGACCGAGGAGAAAAATGGAGAGAAGTTAAATGTGTCTCATGTCACTCTTTGCACTGGAGTTTTTCATCCTGAGAGTGAGTAAATTTCCTTTTCATTTGAGAAAAACTTACCCCTTTTTAACTTAAAATTTTAAAATTCCTCCAAAAATAAAAAAATAGATGGAAAAGCTGTAAGTAATGTGGGGGTAACCTGGGGTGGCCAGATATAACATAAATATATAAGAATAGATAATTTTTTGTATTCTTTAATAGTTAGAAAATGAATTGAAATTATCTCTCAATAATAGTAAAAGGATCATGAATTTCTCAATAAATATTCAAAACTTTTAAAGAAACCACAGAGGCCACTGAATGTTATAAATATATATTTCAATATAAAGGTAAATTTAATTTTCTAAAGATGTAGCACTTTGCCAAGACAATCAATAAAGCCAATGTAATACTATCACATATAAATTTTCTTTTATTTTGTGAAATTATTTGATTGTAGATTTGATTTTTTTTTGTCTTTTTTGTCTTTTGTTATCGGTACCTATAACACTAATTGACCTTTTCTGTGGTCAATTCTGACCTTTTCTGATAACACTAATTGAAAAGGTCACTGTAGATTTGATTTTGAAGAGTAAGTGCAAGAAAGTAGCTTAGAATCTTTTGTATAACCTGACATATTCAGCTAGTAGAATATCTTATAAAGCTCCACTTAACAAAACCATTAAATATTGATGCAAATACAAATAGACAAAACAGAGGCTCTAAGATCTAGCAAAAGAACTATGTATATTAAGGAATTTAGTAAGTTAAAAAAGTTTCACATTATTTTATTTAGTATATTTTATTTAGATAAAAGTGCCAACAGATAATTTATGCAAAAAATTTAATTGGGAATAGTAACTCTCCTCTTGCAAATAAAAGTAAAATAGTTTGTGACATCCTACAAAAATAGCAAATTATATATTTCAAAGATTTAAACAGGGATTTTATAAAATTAGGGTGAAATATGAGTTTTTAAAAAACCAGATTCATTGAGATATTTTACTTAAGTCATCTGTTTTAAGTATAAACTTCAATGGCTTTTAGTGTATATTTAGAGTTGTACAACCATCACCATAATTGATTTTAAGACACTTTTGTCACCACTACTCCACAAGAAACACACAAAAAAGAAACCAAAATCCAAACAATGAAACAACAAAAATTCTTTTCTCTCCATACCACGTCTCCAACCCGAAGCAACCACTGTTCTATTTCTGTCTTTGCACATTTGCCTATTCTAGACATTTCATGTATATACAACCACAAATTAAATGTGTGATTCTCTGTGACTTTCTTCTTTCACTTAAAATAATATTTCTCAGGTCACCCATGTTGTAGCATCATTTCTTATTATTGCCAAATAATGTCTCACTGTATGGATATAATACATTTTGCTCATTCATTCATCAATTGATAGACATGTGGGTTGTTTCTATTTTTTGATTGTTAAAAATGATGTCATTATAAACATTTGAATACAAGTTTTTGAACACTGGATTTTTATTTCTTTTGGGTATTTAGTAGTGGATTTGCTGAATTATATAGTAACTATAATTTAGAGGAACTGTAAATGTGTTTTTTAAGATGACTTCACCATTTAAAATTCTCACATTAGTATATGAGAGTTCCAGCCCTCAAGTCTTTATGTGTCTTTTTTTTAAGAGAAAAAGGAAAAAAAAAGCAGAAAAAGGGTACAAGTTATACAGAATTTCAGAAAAAAAATAAACAGTAGGAAATCACTAGTTAATGGATTACATACTGTCATCTTAGAAATATTTGTTCAAGTTACAAGATTAAAGTACATAAAGTGGACATTCAAACAGCAAGACTGCAAACAGTTCTGTTCAATGATCCAACAAAACTCAGTAATATCATTGTCTATCTTATACACTTAAATTTACATGCAGTTATACCATTTAGAGCACTTTCTTTTCCTCTCTTTTGTACAATGACTATTACACATTTTGGGTTTTATTGCTCCCACAGTTCTTATTGTTTTTTTTGAAAGAGAGTAAAACCAAATGTGACTTAACAGAACAGAATTGGTTAAATCAAAAGGGTGGACATAATAGATAATGTAAAAACATAATACATGGTGACCAACAATGGTTACCATAATGCCTCCCACTATCTCAAATAGAATTGCCTATATCATCAGTTATAATAAAATTGAACAAAACAGTAAAGAATGAAACCAACAAAACCAAAACATTGGAGACATTACAGGTCTTCAAAAGTAGATAATAGTCAACCAGTATGGGCATCATAATGAATCCCACTATCTTCACAGCTGTTGCCTAAACTTTCGAATCTGGTACTATCAAGCAAAGCAGAATAGAGGAACATCAGTCAAAACAAGATGGTGAGAGCAATACAGGGCTTCAAATCAAGTTAATAGAATATCAAAGTGGGTTACTATAATATATCCTGCTTTTTAAAATTTATTTTTCCTTTAATTAAAAGGATAAAAATAAAAAAGTAAATAATAAAATGGAGATTGAGATAAAAGAGGGCATAACAACTAAACAGTGCAGATTAATACATAACCATTTAAGCAAATTAGTGTTTCACCACAATATAATCCTGACATAAAAGTAGTTACCATATTGTCTCTTTCCTTGAGATCTTTGAGTATAACTTCATATACTGTAGCATCAAATATATCAACACAATGTATAACCATTCAAGAGAATGACAGTATTACAGGGCATTTAGAATCAACTAACAGATAATGAACTATGGTTTCTGTATAATCTCCTTGTCTATAAAATTTTTTGTTTATACTATCACATATAATAAAATCCAATAAGATACAACATGTTAAGACCTATGGAGACAGAAGAACAAAAGCTTGATGGGACTTCAAAATAAGATGATACCAAATCAGCACTACCTATTATGATGTCGTTTTGTCCAAGATAGCTGTTCCTATCATCCAATTTTCTCTGACTCATTTCTCTTGAGCTCTTTTTCTGTCATTAGTTGTCAGCTTGTCTTCTTCATTTTCTTTTCTGCTCCATTCATTGTGGCCTTTCTGCCACTATTTCTGGATTTTTCGTATTTTTCTTTTTTAGAATATCCTGCAATATTCTCTGTAGAGTTGAATTGGTGGTTGCATATTCCCCTAGTTCCTCTTTATCCTGAAAGCACCTTGTTTTTCCATCAATTTCCAGGGATAGTTGTGCAGGATATCTCAATCTTGGCTGGAGGTTATTATCTTTCAAAGCTTGAATTATTTCTCCCCATGCTCTTCATGATTTGATGGTTTGTGCTGAGAAGTCTGCTGTAATTCTGATGGTGTTCCCTTGTAAGTGATTTGTTTCTTGTGTCTGACAGCTTTTAATATTCTGTTCTTATATTGGATTTCTGGAATTTTGATTATTATGTGCCTGGGTGTAGCTCTATTTGGGTTGTAGGTAGCTGGAGTCCTGTATGCCTCATATATCTGAGTATCTTTACCATTTGCTAAATTAGGGAAATTCTCTTGGATTATTTCTGTGAATAGCTTTTGTAGTCCATTTGTTTGTGTCCCCACTTCTTCTCTTATGTTCTGAATTCTTAAGTTACAGATCCTCTTATCATCTTCTAGTTTTTGTATTGTTGCTGTTTGTTTTTTTGTTATTTTAAAGAAGTTTTTCATTTCATGCTCCCATATTACAAATCTGCCCTCCAGTTCAGATAACCTGTCCTTAGTTTCTTTTAAGCTGTTATGCCAGTTTTTGATAGAGTTTTTAGTTTCCTGGTAATCTCTTTGAACCTGCTTCACGTATTCTATGTGTTCTCTATTTTCTCCATCAAATAATTCTCCCCTCTTTTTCTGTTCTTCCATTCTACCATCTGCTTTTTCTTGGGTGGTGCTTAGCATTTCTCTGACTATTCTGCTTATGTCTTGCTTCAGGTCATTAATAACTTCATTCCTGAACTCATCTATGAGGCTCTGGAGATAGCCTTTTATGTCTATTGGTGGCGTGTCTGCTATTGCCTGTTTCTCAGGACTGGGGGCCGAGGAGCCTTTCTTGTTGGTCCCTCTTCCCATATTCTTTGTTCCTTATATATACAAGCATATATAGGAGGCCCAGCTTCCTTTCCTGGGGGCCACAGTCTGACTGAATTGCATCAGCTAGGTGTTCCCGCCCACTGCCTCGCACCAGGGAGTTACGGACCAGGCAATCTATGCAGGGCCCGCCCCTCCAGGTCAACCTACTGAAAGGCCTCACCGTTAGGGTGCACCTTCAGGTGCTGGGATCTGGGTTGTGCTAGCCTACTGGGTCTCAGCCAGCAGCATCACATAGGCTAGGCACTGCTCACCAATCCCACTTGAGAGGGGGATATGTGGACTGAAGTCACTACAGCTCCCTGTTCCAGCAAGTCTGCCCGGTCCCAGAATGTCCTCTGTTGGCACCTCCTAGACTGTGGGAGAGTCCCAGTTCCCCTCACTCACCGGAGGTTGATGCATGGCTCCCCACCCGCCCAGCTCTTAACTCTGTTCACCGATTCCTGTTCTCAGCGCTTTTCCATGTCTCTCTCCCTGCTGAGCTGATTCAGATGCAGCCGCGGCGGCAGGAAACCCAAGTCGCGGCTTTCAATGGCACGGGCTCCAGCTTCCACACTCAGGCTTTATCTGTTCCTGTTATAGCACCAGTATTGCATTCCCAGTTGGTATCTCTCAGCCCAGTTTGTTCTTGGGTCAGCAGGGTATATCTCCTCTTGGTTAGGATTCCTCCCTCCGCACCATTCCTGGATTCTAAGCTGGGTCTCGGAGAGAGCATGCGTAGCTGCTGCTATCTGTCCTCCATGTTCTCTGGATCTCCTTTATCTGTCTTTTTGATGATAGTCACCTTAGTGGGTATGAAGTAGTACCTTACTGTAGTTTTCACTTGAATTTCCATAATCATAATGATATTGAATGTGTTTTCATGTGTTTGTTGGCCAGATGCTCTGGAGAGATAATTTCTTGGATTTTTTGGAGGCTTTTAGTCTGGGTTTTGATATTTCTAACTGTGAGAAAGTATGACCTTGATGGGTAAAGCACAGAACTCATAAGTGTTAAAAATATTCACAGATGATCCAATGGCATAAAAAATTTCAATACCTGTATTTTCAAAGATGACATAAATACTGTTGTGTTAGTTAGCTTCCCATTACTGTGACAAAATGCCCAAGAGAATCAACTGAAAGTAAAATAAGATTTACTATGACTCATAGTTTTAGAGGATTTAGGCCATGATAACTTGGTCCTATTACCTTTGAGCCTGGTGCATCACAACAGGGAGGATATGGTGAAAGAAACTGCTCAGCTCATGGGAGCTAGAGAGGGACAGAAAGAGATAGAGAGACAGGGAGAGAGAGGAGAGAGAGAGAGAGAGAAATAGAGGGGGGAGAGACAGAGAGTCAGTCAGTCCTGTGTTCCAATATTCCTGCCAAGAAAGGTCCCTTATGATGTAATTTCTTTTCACCAGGTTCCATCTTCTGAAAGTTCTACCATCTCCCAGCAGTGCCATCATATGGGGACACATGAGCCTTTGGGAGACATTTACTTCAAGCCACAACAGTGTAAGTGAAAATCATATTTTCTATGCTTTAGAGCAGAAAATATTTGAAATATATAACAAGGGTTAATATTAGCAATATATGCAGACATTTACCACATACAACAGTTTGAGGTTTTTTTTAACCTTATCATAGTGTGACAGTGAGACACTTTCAGCAGAAAGTGTACTTTTGTACAACTGTACCTTTTCTTGGTACAATATTCCCTTATGACGCTAGATGTCGATGGTGATCAACAGCTCCCAGTCAGGCACTTTAATTTCAGGGAAATCAACCAATACTACACAACATATTATATGGCTAAGTTATGGTGTTCAGTCAGTTAGATGTGTTAGATGCTTTTTTGATTTACAATATTTTCAACTTACAATGGGCTTTTGAGAGCTGTAACCCTACTGAAAGTCAAGGACAATCTGTAAAGACACACTATAAATCAGTGAGGAAAAAAGGTAAACAACTCAAAACTGGCCAAAGGGTAAGAATGAGCAATTTGCAAAAGTGCCAATAGCCAATAAACAATACCCAACTATTGTGTATATCTGGTTACACAAATTAAAATAATAAGGAATTACATTCTTTCGCTATCAGCTTGGAAAACTTTTTAAAAAATTATTTACAGCATTAGTAATGGGTGTCGAGAAGTAGGAATCTCAAATACTTGTTTAACATATACACAGTTACAACTCTCCACATTAAGTTAACGGGAAAAATCTTAGGTTTTGGGCTTTCGTGTGATCTCAGAGCATTTTGTATTAAGTGTGTTTTAGTGTTGTAGATGGAAATTGAGAAGATTTTTTAAATAACAAAGGAACTACAGACAATGTGTTTTATAGCAATGTTCAGATAGAAGGATGCTAAGAATACAGATAAAACATTGATGAAGATAGGGGTATTTGGTTTATACCATGAATTAATATTCATGAGCATGATGGCTCCTTCTCCAAGGATCAAACAAAGAGAAGATACAGAATCCAGTAAACAAATTCACATGTGTGTCTCTCTCACATACAAACTACAGTTCCAGGATGCTTCGAACTCATGCTTTGGGTGTAGAAAAGGCCCGGATGGAAGATAACAAAGATTAGAGAAAAATTTTAATAGTTGTTCTTGCGTTGTCTCCAAATTGCATTGGGACAAGCACAGTGTACCTCTTTTCACAGATTTTGGAGACAATGACTCAGGAGTCTGGACAAATATCCACAGGAGTAGTGAGAGTGCAAAGTGTTGGCCCCTCCGGAGAAGGTCACTGGGAAGAATGGTTTCCAATGACTCAGCTCCATATTCTATCTGCCCTTCTCCCACCTCAGGCTAGTGTGCCGTATCCAGGGAGACTGTCTTCCAACTGGCTTGCAGAGCTGCTTTGTCATAGATAGAAAGCAAGTGTCCTGGGACACTGTGCCCTATGATGAGAGTTTGGCCCTCCTTTCCCCAGGAAATCTTCTCAGAGAGTGACTCCTCCAGCACACATAACCAAATAATTAAACTCTTGAAGGAGTGTGACCACCTCAAGAGGGAAGCCATGCTTGATCTGCTTGTTCTCTCTGAAGCGGTTCAGAAAATGGATTGAAATGTTAACAAATAAGTTAAATACATTTATGGAAATGAAACACCATACCTGAGGCACGATCCAAGAACAAAAAAAGAACCAGAATGAAATATTAGCTAAGGAAAATATATTAAAACATAAAACAAAAACCATGATAGAAAAATAAGTAACAAGATGAAGGACAAATTAGTGTCCTGAAAGATCAGATGAAGAAAAGCTCCTAAAATGGAGCAGGAAGGGATAAAGAAATAAAGCACATATCTAAGAAAAATCTAAAAACACAGAGGATGGGAGTAGAAACGCTAACATTCAGTTAATAAAAGACATAGAAAAAGATAAAAAATATAAGGACATGAGGATAAAAGTATTTAGTAAGAAATGAAATAATAGAAATATATTTCCCAGCATTGAAAAAAAAGGTCAAAGCATTAATGAGATGCAGAGATAGAAGAAAAGCTTTACTCCTAAATACAACACAGTAAAATTTAAGAATATAGAAATATAATTTAAATGTAGGAAAAAAGGTATTTTACACTGCGTTTAATAATCTTAGATATAGGGCAAATTTAATACATAAAATTCTAAGTGTTTAAACCTCATATTTTATGTTTTTATTATGGTAAAATGCACATGACACAAAATTGGTCCTTTAATCATTTTTACAGTGTTCAGCATAGTGTCATTAAGTACGCTGTACAGTTGTGTAACCACCACCACCAGCCTTCTTCAGAAAGTTTTGTCTTCTCAAGTTGAAACTTCCTATCCATTAAACACTAATTTCCCCATTTCCTATTGCCCCTAGGCCCTGGCAGAAACTATTCTGTTTTCCACCTCTGTACTCTATTCTTAAGACCTTAAAATTTAAAAAAAAACTTAAAAGGCAGATCATTTTAAAAGTATAGATCTACAAAAGCATAAAAATATATTGGTAGCTTATTGATGGCAGCAGCACAGGTAAAAAGACAAAGGATACATGTTCTTTAATACTGAGTGGAAATTTGTGAATTAAGACTTTTATATCTAATCAAACTGCCATTTGAATCACAATACACACATACATACATACACGTGTGTGTGCACACACACACGCATGCACACCAATTGTCCTACCCATGAATAGACTTTGATGACCAACCACAATAAAGCACATAAAGACACTTTGTTGTGTCTTTTAAAATGGAAAACAAATTCAAGAGACATTGCAAGATGTAACACATGCAAAAGTGATAAAATACCTTGAAAAATTAATTGTTTGTTTTAAATGATAGAACTGAAGAAAAGATCTACAACTACATGGATGAATCTTGACACTATAATTTTGAATGAAAAAATCTCAAATGTAATACATCAAGCTTGAAAACAAAATTTTTAAAAAAATAAGCAAATGAGGTTTTGAGATCAGAGTTTCAGTTCTGAACTGCCACTTTCCAGAAAAGCAGCTATACACAGGTTATCTAACCCTTCTGAGCATCATAAAATGATATATGTACACATTGATTGAGCCTGATAATAAATAATCACATTGCAAAAGCCTCAGGACATGATGTGTTCAAAAAATATTAGCAAAATAACCGTGAGAAGGAGAACTAGAACAATAAATAAGAATAAAAATAAAACATCATCACATGTCGAAACAAAAAATCCTGGAAGATATGAGTTGGGGTTTTGACCCGAGATTGCTAATAAATTCTGGAATCCTGTAATAGCTTTTCAACCTCCGTCACTTGCCTTCATGTTTGCCTTGTTTGTTTCTTAGTTTCCCAGTAAACATTGTGAGAAAGTCAAAACATATTTTGGATGAGTGAAGAGAGAAAGAGACTTAGCTGGAAGAGCAAAGAGGAAGCGAGTTCATTCCTAAGGACCTCAGTGCAAGAGGTGAGTTCCGTGAGGGGAGCCAGGGGCACAGGCTGAGAAGGAGACCTTCATGTCTGTGCTCAGAGCTAAGCACTGCATTCAGTGTTTGACGAGGAGCAAGGTTAAGGCTGGGTAATACTACATCTACTTTTAAAATTTCCAAAGCTAAACACACTTGATAAAGCCAACCTCCTGTGGTAGCAGTGAGAGACAGGTTCTCGAGAGAAGCCTGATGCATGTTAGCAACTCTACCCTCTACTACCTTGCCCAAAAGGAGGCTTGCATGGTCATTCTCTTGCAGGTCTCCCAGCAAGCGTCCACTTGCCTGGCCTAGGCTCTCAATGCTCTAAGGTTTTTTACCTTCTTTGGGTCACCAAAAGGTCTGACCTGAGCCTCCATGCAATCCCTATTCCCATGCCTCTGCTTAGTTACCAGTAAGGAATAACACAGCAGCGTGTGCCATCAGTTTTTCACCTCCTGGGAGCCAGTGACTTTTCTTGGGGTCACTTAGGCTCCTGCGGATTACCCAGGCTCTCTCTGCTGTTTGTGCTGGGGTTTCTGGGAGTTTCCCAGATCATCTCCAGTTTGCCTGTAATGCAGCCTCTTCCTCGCCATCCTGCTGCCCCTCCAGCTCCCTTCCGGCAAGCTCTTGGGAAGGTGCCAGGGTTCCCTCTCTCAGCGTGCGAAAGCTCCTATTGCTGAGGTCCCTGGTGTTGATTGGCAGCTGGTATTGTGCAATGGACAGTCCTCCAATGAGGGGGATGCTCATAGGGTGGTGGCAGCCCCAAGAGGTGACTGTTGATAGATGGCGGTCTTGGCCTGAAGTTGACTCTTCGGTGACATCGGAATCTTCAAGTGTTCAATGCTTCATCTTTTGTCTTCCTGCTTTCCTCAAATAAAGAATGACGAACAATCCCGGAACCGGAGCCACATGTCCCCAAATGCGTGTGGCTCAGAATTAGTCATGTTTTTCTAATTATCCCTTGATCTGAATGCCACAGTTAATATGCGTGTGCACACTCACACATACCCAGGACAATTTTGAACTAGACATCCGGGCTCCTCTTTTCCCAGAACTCCACAGCCCTTCAAGATTTTGCCCCACCCAGCCCCTCCATTTCCACTCCACACCCACGGCAGCCACTGGCCCCTGGGTTCACCCCGCTCTGGTAAGGCCACTCTCGAGACAGGATGTACTTATTTTCATGTTGACTTGAATGCTTTCCCACCCATCACATGGTTTTTAAATCCTTGAGACTCAGTATGAGGCCATCCATGACAGCTTCCCAATGCTGGAACTCCTACAGCATGCAAGTGACCAAGCAAACACCTTCCACCTTTTTTTGAATCTGAGGCCTCTTATAACAACACTTTAAAAGTTGTATTTTGGGTTGATAACAAGCAGAATATAAGTTCATTGGAAATACCGATGAAAAGATAAAGAAAAATTGTTCCATTTTCTATACCTAGAGTTAACCACATTTTCCTGATGACCTAAAAGGAATCCCTGTCAACACAGACAGACACACACACACACACACAAACATACACACTTTTTCAAAGAAAAAGTTGAAGTCATACATATAGCTTTGTAAGTGCTTTTTTTTTCACTCAACAATGAATTGTGAACTCTCCTCAAAGTAACCCTGTTTTAATGTCTAAAGATTTCATGAATAGCCACATAAGAGCATTTATACTTAAAAACATTTTATTATGGAAAATCTCAAACATACAAAAGTCAAGACAACATAATAATCCTCCCTTTACACATTATCCAGTTGGGTAATAATTAACATCTCTTCTAGTTTTATCCACTGCCTCCCTTTTTCCCCTTGACTACTTGACATAAAATCCCAGATATCATTCTATTTCACTGTAAATAGCGCTTGTCTTTATAATATATGCTGTTTGAGAAAATGTACAGCCATCCAAAGACAGTGTACATTCAGGACCACTCCCATATGAATCTGTGTTTCATTCATGATAGCAACATTGATGATTTGAAAAATAGTCACACATACATGTGCAAGTTGTATTATTTATTCAGCCTTCGGTCGAAGCTTGTAGGGCATCTGGATGTACAGATCCTTTGCAAGAGTTCCAGCCCACAAGCCAGGCACTGCTGGTCGGATCCACTAACTCAGACATTCAATCAAACTCTGCCTTGCAGTTTCCTCCAGTTGGTTTGCACATGTGAGCTTTCTCTCCTAACTACTACTCTACCGTTAAGTCTCAAGGTCCAGGATCAAGCCAGCTTCTATCCTGCTCACAAAACTGTAGGTATCCAACAAAATCCAAATCGTAAGATTGCTTTTTATAAGAGGTTATGAAGGCCTCAGTGATTGCAATTTGTGTTGGAGGGAACCAAGGGTGGAAGGAAGGGACGTTTCCTCAGGAGCAGAGATGGGTTGAATCTCAAGTTTCCTCTTTCTTAAGCTTTTCTTATCATACTGTCTTGTGAGTAGAATTTTCCAAATGGACAGAACATTGGAAAAATGTGACCTTGAGAATGGCATATTTAGTATCTTTACTGAGTTCCCACTGCTCAAGCTTGAGAGGGCTTCCAGAGGAATCTGGAACCTGAATTCTGCTGTCTCCTGCCAAGGGTGTCAGAAGCATCAGGATACAATTCCAAAAGGAATCAAAATAGCAGTTTAACTTCTAAACAAGTGCCCACTCTGTCCCCAGAGCATGGCTTTCCTTACAAAGTGAGCTGAAGCAGGGATGCCCCTTCCTGTAAACCCCAGGGACACTTCCCTCTTCCAATTCTCCATTGCTTCAGCAGCTGGTCCTGGCAGAAGCCTGAAATTGCTTTCCCATCCAGCTATAAGCTGGCGGTGTCTCCTCCACCCTGCCACAGGCCAGCTAGGAAAGATATGGCTGCTTTTGTCTTTGGGAGCCATATTATAGCGCAGGAAGAAGGGCAGGCAGGAAGCCAGCTGGACCTGTCTGAGAAGGCAGAGACCCAGGAAATGAGAGAAAAAGAAGATGGAACCCAAGTGCTGTAAGTCTACTCACCGAGTAACCTCTCCAGGGGAATATCTAGCGCTGACTAGCGCAATTCTTTTTCCAAGGGCAGATAGGAGAGAGATGAAGAGAGGGTCCAATATGGTGCACCATGACATTTCCCAGATCAGGGAGAGGCTAGGTGGACATGCCTCCCTCTCTGAGTCACTGTGAACTGGGAGGGATCAGCATTTTCTCTAGTATATTGAAGAGTTTAACGTTGAATATTTGGGCCACCATCTATAGTCACTTTGTTAAAACTGAGCCAGGCTCATATGTTTGTGAGTCATCATGCTGCTTATGATCTATCCTTACATTTAATGTGCTGCAGAAACTGCATATTTATTGCTTATTTTTCATCCTTCTGCCAGGAATTTCAGATTTAAAAACAAGTTTTCTTCTTTTACCTTCCCTCCTTTTCCCATTTTCTTCTTGCTGTCTACATTCACCTTTGAGGTTTGCACAATGGGATGGATTCTATGCTTAGCCCAGGAGTCTCTCATTTAGAGACTCCCAAATTAGGAGTGAGGGGGTTGGGTGGAGTCGGAGGAGAGGAGAGCTCTTGACAGAAAATCAAAGATACAATGTAAAGAGATGGTGAGTCAGCCCTTAGAAATGCCTTTGATGTCCTGTGTCCTCGCCCTACCACTCAGGAACACAGGCCGATCAGTCCCAACAGCAGCGACAGAACAAAAGCTTCTGACTCAGAATGTTACCAGCAGGAATCTCCCCAATCTCCATTCGAAGCCCAGGAAACTGTATCATAAAAGCTGAGGGCACTGACTCCTCATGTGTCCAGGTCTAGCTTGAGAATCCCAGGAATCACTCAAGAATTACCAACATTCTAGCTTTTTCTTTTGGTTTAGTAGAGTCTCCCATAAAATGTCATATGTAAAGTTAGATACACAGATACATACACAGAGACACAGACACACACACACACACACACACACACACACACACACACTGAGGTAGGAGGTCCACATCCATTCATGCGTCCTGTTACATACTCTCCTTGTAGACTGCCCACCTCATCTTCCTTAGCCCTAAAAAGCTGAGTGTAGTCAATGAACTTAGCATCTATCTTTTTCAATTGATCATAAGGGATATTTATCAACACCCTACTATCTTACTATTTTTGGACTGTATGCTTTTGGAGATATAAGAAAAAGAAAATACATAACATTGTTTCCCCTTAAGGAGGTTTTGTTATGGTTATAAGAGATGACCCTAACCTTCAGAAAGCAACGAAAAGGGGGCCCATGTATGATACATAGAGAGATTCAGGTTCTCTGTCAAGTGGAACTTAGATGCTCCAAAGGAAGTTAATGAGTCCTGGAATAGCCAAGCATGGCCCAAGAAGAGATGAGAGCACACATCAGGAAGGGGAGAAGGCAGGCAGTGCTGGGCGGTTGGAAGGAACCCGCTCTGCTGTGGGGAAGGAGAGGAGGTGCTCCTGGGTGGAGGCAGGTGCGTAAGTGGAAGAGAATGATCAACAGGCTGGTGAGGGAACAGTCAATTCCAGGGGCCTGCGTCAGACACTCTCGTAGGACACGCTACTTGGCATTTTTTCTGGAGAGGTAGGGAATTTGGGTCTGCATGTATTTTTAGCTTCGTCTTTTCCGCCCTCTTCTAAGCAACGATTCTAAGAGCTTTCAGCCTGAAGTCATCTGTTTTCCTAGTCCCTGATCCAGGGAAGCAGCTGCCAGTACCACCACCTCACACAGAGGCTGCTGCCGCCCCGGCGCTGACCCCAGGAGAGCGACGTGTCCTGGACCACAGGAGCAGCCTGTGGGAGGCCGCCCTGTAGCAAGCTCAGCCGTCCTGTGCTCTGCCAGGATGTCACCACTCGGCTCTGCCATGACCCTAGAGGAGAGTTTCTGTGAGGTCTGTGTGAGGCCCCCAGATGCCTGTCCCTTATTCCCACCAGGGCCAACCTGAGGTTGGAGGCGTGGAGGATCATGGAGCAGCACAGATGTCTACCTATCCCCTGGTCAGAGGGGGCTCTGCCCTCT